TTTTTAAGGGTATCTCATAGTCACACATTTCTCACAGCATCACTCCTACTTGTCTTTTTATTATTTTCTGGCGCTGCCCGAAGAGACAAAATATTATGAAGCAATAAAAAACTAGTGCTAAAGCATTCGACAAAAAAGGAGGAATTGGAACCTAAAACAGACTTGCACCATGTGTGCCATTGTCATTGCCAGTGGCACTACCAGTACCAGTACCAGTGGCTGTGGCTGTGCCGGTGCCATTACCCGTTGATCGCCGCTGAAGACGAAAAAAAGGTCCCCGTTCGGTCACGCGCTCAGTTGAAAATGTGAAAATGTAAATATAAATGCGCACACACAGCTTAGAGCAAGCCTCAACATAAACTGCATGTTTGCTGCCTCACTCTTGCCCTGTGTTTTTTGTTGTTGCTAGTAATGAATATTTACATTTATATTCTCTTCTCCCTTTTTCGTTTTAATACACGCACATCTGCATGAAATGCCAGCAAATTTAGCCTAGGCGCAAGCAGCGTCACAGCGTCACAGCTCCACAGCTCCGCAGCTTCACAGCTCACGCATAATTTCTATAAGACTCATATAAGTATAGTTCGTATGCTGATCGCCGCGTCTCATCACGTCGCATCGCGTCGCGGCGGGCGCACATGACGCTCGGCAATAAATGGGTGGAGTCGGCAGCAGGAGTCAGAGTGCACGAGTGCGCGAGTACGGGTGTGCACGACTAGCAGATACCCAGGAATTGCACTAAATCCACGTGAGCATATCAATATATATGATGCCTAGCTATATACACATATACATATGCATATATACATACATAAACATGCACATACAGACACTCATATACTCACTTGTATACATACACACACTTGCACTCTCATAACACACATACATACATCATTTCAACTAATATTATATGTTTTATAGGCGTTTAAAGTTGAAAAATGAATAGAACCGAATATTAATGCTAGACACAGTAAATACATTTAGAAGTCGTACTCGTTTGTTGTGTTGTTGTTGTGATTCTTCCTCGTAATTTTGATACCTTCCATGCCTATTGTACATACATATGTACAAAGGCCCAGCTACTGCTACTACCTCCAAATGTAAGTCGATTCTTAAGGACTAGTGGAAAATATTCACATTATGAACTTGTCAGTATCTAGATATATACTTGCCGATAATTTATCTAACACATTCAGTGACCTTAGATAATAAATTATATCAAATATGGATGTCCCAAGAACAAAAACTCGAAATAAACTTGATGGCAGCTGGCACTGCTGTTCTTAGCTCTTACTGGATGGGGGGCCTACCGATTGACGTATGGGTAGACTGAAAAGATAGACGACCTGACGGACAGAGCTAGAAGAGTTCGACTCTTTATGTTGATTAATATCTCATGAGTGTAATGTAGACACGCCCCCATCAACCTGTTACCAACACTTTGCCAGTTTCCACATACCCCTTTCTTCTCAAGGGGATTACAGGGTATGATTACTAAAAGTGTTGCAGCTGTAACAGACGCACATGTGCGCTGGTGCTTGCTTGTAAAGGAGAATAATCTCCAAAGAGTAGCAAACAGCACAACAACAACAACAACAACCGCTACGACAACAACAACATTAGCAACAACAACAACAACAAGAAGCGATGATCTTGACAGGGTGTCGCAGTCGCAGTCGCAGTCTCCATAGACGTCGCAGTTGACGTCGCCGTCGCTGTCACCGTCACCGTCGTCGTCGTCGTCGTCGTCGTCGCCGCCTCACAGCTCAGGACGAATCTTTCTTTCGTTCCGGGCATTTAAATATCGTGCAGCCAGTGAACTGCGAGTTATTGTCAGATACAACGCGGTGGCGTGAACAGCACAAAAAAGAAAAGCCAGAAGCAGAAGAAGAAGAAGAACTAAATACTAGAAACAAAAATTATTGAAATAGAATCAAGAGTGATTTGCGCGAGTGTGTGTGTGTGCGTGTGCGTGTGCTTTGGGATTTCCCGCGTCGAATTACGTATTTTTTGGCAATCGGCCGAGCCGTTCGATTCGATTCCGAGTGTGAGCGAGTGCCGGAAGTGAGAAGCCCTCTCGTCCAACTATAGATGTCGGCATGTCTGGCACAATGAAGTCACAGCAGCTGCCTCTGAGCATACCCGGCCAGTGCGAGGAGCTCTTCGGCCAGGCGAAGGGCAACCTGGGCAAAGTCTACGGCGAAAGTGTTTGCTATGATGCGTTCATGTCGCCGCCGCTGAGTGCGACGACCGGACACGGGGATCTGGCAGTGCAGAGTAATAACGGTAAAGCCAATGGCGGCTACTTCACCTGTGATGAGATGCAATTTCCGGACTTCTCGCACCTGTGCTTCGCCAGCGAGACGCCCACCTCGGCCTTCAGTGACTACAACAGCTACGCGGCCGCCGAGCAGGATCGGGACGACATCGTCTGCGCCGTGTCCGAGCCGTCGGGCATGCCCTATCAGCAGGGCCAATACACGCAGCTCAATCGCGAGGACGTCTTCCGCTTCGAGCCGGAGGATATAGCCCGACTGACCGCCGACAGCAGGCCAGGCGGCGGCTATGCTGAGGTGAATGGCCTGATGCAGGTGCCACAGGTGCCACAGGTGCCGCACACGCCCTACACGCCTTGCAGCGCGCCCAGCCAGCCGCCGACGGTCCATCAGGACATTGACTACTTCAACTATGACGAGGTCAACTGCCAGTCGAAGAATCAGTCGCCCTGCTCCTCGCCCCACCTGGATGCCTGGCTCAACTTCAATCTCGGCGAGCTAACAACAACAACAACAACAACGACAGCAACACCAACTCGGGAGGCCTCGCCCAAGCTGTGCAACATTTACGACCAGCAAATGACGACGATCAAGCAGGAGGAGCAAACCCAGAAGCTGCCCTCGATGAACTCGACCTTCGGCACGCCCCAATGCGCGCCCATCTGCAACAACTATGGAGACTACTCCAATCTGCTGCAGGACGAAGTGATCTATGACTATGCCAAAGAGTTTCCCACCGAAAACCTAGAGCATCACATTGAGAAACCAAATCGTGAGCATAAAGTCATCTGGACGATCGAGGAGCTGGACGAACTGGTGCTCAATGAACAGCAACAACAACAACAACAACAGCAACAACCACAATTGATCAAGTCTGAGCAACAGCATCCGCCCAGCGACGATGAAGATGAGGATGCAGATGATGCTGCAGATGCTGAGGTGGACAAAGATGAGGATGAGGATCTGGACGATGTGTTTGCCATGCCGCCCAAGAAATGCGATCCATTCGACGCCGATCGCGATGAGGCTGTGCCGTTGATCTGTCGCTGGACCGACTGCAACATGGAGTTCATGCAGCAGCACCTCTTCGTGGAGCACATCGAGAAGTGCCACGTGGATGTGCGCAAGGGCGAGGACTTCTCCTGCTTCTGGCTGGATTGCTCCAGGCGCTACAAGCCCTTCAATGCGCGCTACAAGCTGCTCATCCACATGCGGGTGCACAGCGGCGAGAAGCCCAACAAATGTCCGGTGAGTTGGGAATGGATGTCGAATGCATTAGGCGGCGTTACGCGGCCTAGGCTGAGTAATATTTTCTGCCAAAAGTTGTCGAATCGAGAATAGTTCATTCTCTCTCCCCCTCCCATACTTTATAGATAGAGAACATTTTTGGTAGCATAACAATCCCAATCAGAGAGTTAGATTTTCTATAGCTTTAGTTATACAGATACTTCAATATACATCCCTTACTTCCCTTATAAAAGACTTGAAATGTCTCTAGAAATGTTTTATATTTCTAAAACGAAAACACAAAAAATATTTTTGTTTTCATTAAAAGAGATTCAATTGAATAAACAGAAAATCAAAATCCTTTGCCATCTGGGTCTCGTGCATATTTTTAGACCCTCGTTAGAGTTCATATTTATCGCGGCGACAGCATAAACATCATTAAGTAAACAGGATATTTGAGAGCGTTCCGCGCTGCTTGAGGCACTTGAAATGGAACCGAGATAATACTAATGGCATTTCGTGGGCCGTGTCAAGTTTTCGATTCCCTTTCAAATGGATATTTTCTGATGCCACGCCCGAGTGCCAGGATGACTTGATTTGTGCCCAGCACTTAGGTTATTTTTTTTCTCTGTGCACACCTGCAAAAGCCCAAAGGTGTCGAACAAAAAATTGGTTCGCTTCTGCAGTGGGGCCCGCTAGACAACTGTTATACAACTGTTATATTTGGGTGCAGCGAGCGAGTTGGCAGTCCAATAACCCATTTTTACCACTTTTCATTACAGTTTCCGGGCTGCAATAAAGCCTTTTCACGTCTCGAAAATTTGAAAATTCATCAACGCTCGCACACAGGTGAGCGGCCTTATGGCTGTCAATATAAAGGTTGCCTTAAAGCGTTCAGCAACAGCTCGGATCGTGCGAAACATCAAAGAACACACTACGATACGGTGAGTAGTCATTTCCCCTCTCTCTATCTTTCTCCCTCTCTCCATTTAGTTATACGTTTTTTATTATACCCTCTACCCCAGTGGGCAATGCGGGTATATTGGTTTGGATGCTATTTATGTAACATGCAGAAGCTAGAGTCAATTTTGCTGGCAAATAGCTTGTCCATCTGTATAAACTCATGGATCTCGAGAAATATCAGAGCTACAGACTTGAAACTTGTAATGTATAAGCTTGACGCCAAATGCAATGTAAATTTAATAGTTTGGTTTTATATCTGCTTGCATTTGCATAATCTCGATAAATATCGCTATATTCATATAGTTTTTGAAGCATACATTGAACATCATAAAAGCTAGAGATGCAAAATGTGGTGTACTTTCTTTTGTAATAACTGCAATTATTATAAAATATATTTCTTTTAAGTAGCTTCATTCATAACAAAAATGATATACAAATATCCATTTGCTATAGTATACTCTTCTACTTTGGTAGACAAACACAATTTTATGTTATAATCGTACCCTGAAATTTTCGGTCAGATCGTATACATGGAACTCAAGTTAAGAAAGAACATATTCTGAAGAGTGGATTAATTATGTACCAAAAGAACGAGAACAAAAACAGCATTGGCTTAAACGACTGTCACAAAGTCATTTCAAAGCAAACTTTAGGGTAATCGCCAGTCGGGCACTTCCCACTATTGCTCTCTTGCTCGTTTTGTATGTATGTGTGTGTATATAAAGGTATATACATGTCTCTGTGTGTGTATAAGTACGATATGCAAGCAATTTGCTATCCGTGTCAAAGGAAATTGAAATGCTCGCGGCATTTGGTCGCCTAGCAGCCGCATTACCATCTCCATCTCCATTGCCATCGCCATCGCCATCTCCAGTATCAGCTCCATCTCCATCTCCAGCTTTGCTCAAGTGCAGCTTAAAGTTGAGGTCGTATTTGCCCTATCAGAGCCTACAGGCCCGTCAAATGGAAGAGACAAAAAAAGCATATGTGAGCTGTACTATTTTGGGTAAAAATTGGGCTCGCGTCGCTTCGGCCTCTGTTGTGACTATTTTGGGTAAAAATTGGGCTCGCGTCGCTTCGGCCTCTGTCGTGACATCTGCACATTTGGCTGATTGATTTATAGTTTTTACGTATGGCCAGGAAGTGCGCCCAGTGCCCAGGCCAATCACGACAATAGAGAGCAAAGCAGCCCAGCATCCGGAGATCGACAGAGCAAAAAACCGCAGCAGCAGCAACGGCGGCAGCGGCGGCAGCAGCGCCAGCTGAGAAATTGAATAAACTAAACGAGTTATGCCTAGGCTTAAGCTGCCTTCACTCCACGCATACCAAATGCTAACTGTTAGCCAATCACTTGTGTTTGTGTGTGTGTGTGTGTGTGTGTGTCCTTATGGTTCAATTCGACAGGCCTCGCGGTCAGCGTGGACAATGCCTGAATAAACAAGTTCAATATGCAACGATTTGCCATTTGAGAGTGCTTGAACTGGATGTGAACGACTAGAAGATGCCCTGTACCGCTTTGCTAAGCATTTATTGATTACTTTTCAAGTAGATATCTCTAAATAGAGATTATATCTATATATTTGAACAACAAAACACATATGAGAAGTTGAGTTATATAAATTGAAGGATTGGCGGAATCACAGAAATCACATTCGGAAAAACTGAAACTCTATTTGACTTAGAGATAACGAGATATACGGATGGAAATATAGATGGAGAGATATATAATATATGAGGGAGTGAAGAAGAATATAGAAGGAGAGCAAGAAGAAGAAGACCATTAAGAAGAAGTAGGAAATGAAGAAGAAGAAGAAAAAAGAAGAAAAATTAAGAAGGCCATTAAAAAGAACTAGAAGAATTACAAGAACAAAAAGAAGAAGAGGAATGAGAAGACAAATAGGTCTAGATCAGGTTATTAAGTGGACCTGATCTAGACCAATTTGTTTTCTCATTCTTCTTCAGATTCATGGTTAGAGCGACTCACAGAACACTATAATCAAAGAGAGAGAGAGAGAGAGAGAGAGAGAGAGAGAGAGAGAGAGAGAGAGAGAGAAGAGGAGAATGTGCAGGCAAGCAGGACTATAAAGATCGACTTGACTTAAATAATCCTCAAAATGCATATATAAGTATATTCTTTTGCCTAACTTCTGCACGTGACATACATCCCAAGAAAACCAATATACCCCAAATATACATTTTTCATGTGCTCTGTGTGCTATTGGGGCTATGCCATGCCTATATTTGTCTGTAGCATACATTTGGGCTGGCGTCTATAGCAGCCACCCAAATAGATCAAGTAATAACAGATTCTTTTCCAATGCTTCTTCTTCTTCCGACAACAGAAACCGTATGCGTGTCAGCTGCCGGGATGCACGAAGCGGTACACGGACCCCTCGAGCCTGCGCAAGCACGTCAAGAACCACGGCCTGATGCGGCGCAAGTCGGCGAGCGCAGCTGCCGGCGGATGCAGCGGCCGCAAGGCGGCTAAGGCGCGGCGCAGCTCGGAGTCGGCTGTGGCCGTGAGGGCGGCAGGTGAGCAGCGGACGCAGCGCAGCAGCAGCTGCAGCGAGGCCACGCAGCTGATGCAGTGCGAGGCACCGGAGAGTCGACAGAGCTTAGGCGAGCAGCCCAATGATAACAGCAATGCCGTCAAATTCAATGAGCTCTCCAACTGCATCGTTATCGTGGAGCAGCAGCAGAGCGAAGCCCCACCTGACAGGTACTCGGCTGTCAGCTACGACAGCTTCAGCTGCTACATGACCAAAGCAGCGACTGAGACGGACGCCGTGAACATCTATGGAGCTCCAGAGCCGAATAACCAAAGCTACAATGAAAACCTGCAAAAGTTCAATGAACTCGAGCAGCTGTTACCTGGCGAGCTGCAAGGCGCAGGTGTTGCCTTCGGTGCGGGCGACAGCAAGTGCCAGCTGAACGAATTCGTATCCTTCGAATACGTGCGAAAGTATCTGACGGATGCCTTCGACCCGCCCACTGCGAAGAGACCAAAGAGTCCGCTAGACAATAATCAGATTGAAAACGATTTCCAAAGCTACGATCTTCAGTTTATATAAGAGTAAGAAAGAGAAGAAGAGAGAGAGGGAGTTTGATTAACTCCAAGTGAGATTGCCAAATATTTATATTCTAAAGATCTCAGAAATAATGTATATAGTCAATTGTTTTTATAGGCACGAAAGACAGTGTTTAGATGTAAGGCTAGTTCCATAAGTCCAAACATTCATTTAATACACCTAAGTGATTCGAAAATGTCTTCCCAACTTGAAATTTAGCTGTAAGTCTGGCAATATATACAGACATATATATACGTTTAGGCTAATCGTTAGTAGAGCTTTAGTCAATTGATAACTTAAATAAAAAATATCTTTAAAGATTTGGATTTTTTAAGAAATTTGTTTTATTTCAGTATTTACTTCACTATTTTTTGTATTTTTCTCTCCTTCCCGTTACTTCATTATCTAGTGTTGTCATATTCTTCATATTTAATGGCGTACCTTCTCTTTCCTCATACTTCTTTACATTTTCTTTTACTCGTCCTTCCTATTTCTATTTATACCTCTTTTGCTTCATCTCTTTCCGTCTATATTTCTTTTACTCAGTCTCATTCTTTTTCACCTTCCTCTTCAGTAATGAACATAATTCTCATAAAGGGATTTCTCTATTGCATAGCATGTCCCATAATATTCATGATCTTACATTGTTTCATACGTTCAAAGCTTCCTCTCATAATATGGTTCTATATTCGTTGTACTACCACAATAATAACACTAATTTGGCTCAGGGACATTTTTGAGGAGGGCTAATAATACCCCCTCCGCCATGCATTTAAAAGCGGCGCGAGTTCGTTAGTTAATATGCAGGCAGAGACTGGGCTTCATTACCAACTATTGCCGTACTAGGACGCACACACACTCACATACACACGCGGAGAGACACTTCCATTTACACAGAATAACAAGTAAAAACGATGTAATGGGGATTGACCGATTGCATAATACACCTTCTGGGGCAAAAAGTGAAGTGTGTAGCTTTGATATAGTTCTCGGGTGAGTGTATACAATAGATATACTAATTCCTAATGCAACATATCTATCTTAACACCCTATCCGACAAGGTATCTATATATGTATAATCCATATATCAAGCATCTACTTCCACTAACATTTTGCAAAACTAATACACCCCTTTCCCCATAGCGACGGAGCATGGTAAACAACAGAATGTAAAGCAATTAAAAGCAGTGCAACGGAAACATGCAGCGTCAAAACGAAAATATCCATAAAGCATGAGCAGGAGCCCAATTTGGAGCTTTCGCTTTGTCATATAACGGACTGCATGCTGTGGCTACAAGTGCCCGACGATTTTGTTGTTGTTTTCCGTTTCTGTGTATATGTTTTTTTTTTTTTTATATATATTTTTGTTGAGTGGCAAAACTGCAAGCAATATGCGCCRTGGAGCTAAATATTTACGAACACACGCGGACACAGGCAGCCATTGCATACGCCCCGAGGTCATGCACTTTTATGAAAATTACACAATGCGGTGCTAAATGCACGTAACTGCTTAGCCAACATGCTTCAAATTATGTGCGTTAATCAGCAAACGTTATATGCACATATATACAAACGTAAATATAAATATATGTATATATCCTATTCCCTCTCTACAATTATTCAATGCTAAACCAATAGTAAGAGGCAGAGAGAGAGAGAGAGAGAGAGAAAACTGTGAGAACACATACATTTTTGCTCGCTCACAGAATCAACTGCACAACTAAGATTGCAGCACATGTCCAGTCCGAATATCAACAGTAGCTGCTCTCTCTCTCTCCCTTTTAGTCCTGCTCTCTGCAATTTGCATTTCAAACATACACAAACAACACTAAACGCTTTCATTGTCTTTTATTGTCCACCCTGTGCGCTCTTCACTTAAATGCTCTTTGCAAATTTAGTGATCCCTGCAATTCATTTGGACACACACACATATAACAGCATTATAAAGAGCTTACTACGCGCTCTTCATTTCAGCGATTCATCTATTCGTATGAGAGCACGCACATACACATGCACACACATACATACTATTACACTATAAAGAGCTTACCGCGCGCTCTTCAGCTTATCCCTTCCACAGTATTTACATCGCACTGTGCGTCGCTTACGTTTTGTTCATATTTATGTGTGCTCTCTGGCCCTAGGCACCAGCTCAGGCTGTTTGGCCATTGGTCGTCGGCTGGCAAAACTAACGGTTTTTTCTCTGCGTTTGTCGTTTCCGCTAGCAATTATGCAAATTGTGAGATTGCCACACGCTGATACGTGGAAATTCCATGCATTTACAATTTTCTAATCAATGAAATTTTAATTTATGTCGCCGTTGCACAGTTTCTGCATATTTTGCAACTCTTTGGCGCTTTGCTGATTTCATAGAGATATTTGTGTTTCAATTAACAGATCTTAACACAAATTGAGTTTGTCCAAGTTAAAAAAAGAAAATCAGCTACGGCAGCGCATTTTAATTTAATAATTGAGTTTTTTTTTTTTTCCTCATGAAAGTCACATTGATTCATTTTAATATAATCAGGGCAAGCGCAAATGAAAGCAATGTTCGACTGATAAACACGCCTATGGATTGTAATTAAGTTTACGCTGACATCGTGCCTTTTTATACCCTGGACCACATTAAGCCAAATGGGGTATGCCAAGTTCGTGTGTGCTTCTGTAACAGGTGAACGGAAGAGCTAACTTTCTCTGCTGTCCCTTTGGTAGTGTGTATCTCGAGAACTATATGAGCTAGAGACGTGGACTTTGATATATATATTCGTGTATATTATACGCTATTTGATATCATATTTTCACTTAAAATCTCTGGATATATTCATAATATTCTATAATATCGAAATTTGAAATGTGTATATTATACGCTATTTGATATAATCATTTTCACCTAAAATCTCTGCATACTTTCATAATATTCTATAATATCGAAATATGAGTTCTTAAGCATTCCGCCTAACGATTATAAACTCATTTCCTTTTCACATTGAGTCTTTCTTTATATAAAGATGAATCTTAGATTTTTTGTATAATACTCCAGGGCAACTGTCAGTCGTGCATACTGCTACTGGAGCCAGTCTTTTTTGATTCATCTGGTTTTTTTCCTTCTTATTTTTATTTCATACAATTTGCGGCAATTTTCAATATTGTCGTTTCGCTTCTGATTTGTCTAGCAGGTGGGATCACGTTTTCATTTTTAATTAAATAAATGATTTTCATTGATGACATTAAATATTGTCAGAAGGGAATTTAAAATATGTGTTTCGCCCATCAGACGAATGAGTTTCCGTTTTTGTAACTCCCATTTGCCATCAAGCTAAATTACATCTATAATACTTATCTGTATGTTTTATAGTTGGGAAAATCAACTGTATATATGTAAATATATGTATATGTGGAACGAAAACTTGTTACCAGAGCGTAATTAGAAGCTTTTCCGGCAGGTAGATGCTCTTCTTGACATTAAATTTATGACAACCGCACATGTTGCGCCGTTATACTTTCCCTACAACAACAACAACAATAACAACAACTGCATTAGCTACAGCAACAACTACAGTTGGAAAACTTTAGCGAGGACTTTGTCTTATGGGTAACAGCTGCATCATTAAAAGATTTTCCAAATTTTCGAGAGAGAGAGATAGAGGGAAAGAGAGAGCGATAGTGAAAGCAATAGCACGTATACGCCATGTAACACATATTAGGCTCTTTGCTGTACTACACATTAGCATAGAGCCATTGATTTGTGGGTAGTGATAAGTAATTTAGCCTTTTTATGGCTAGAGCCAGCCTTTTTTAAGCTGTTACTCGGAGTACATGAGTAAAAGGTGTATGAAAATTGACTAAATAACAACAATGGAGAAACTGCGCATTTTAATGGCTTTTTCTGTACAAATGCATCTCTCTCAAGATCCACAAAAGCTAGATACTTGAAATTTTAGATATATGCACAAGAATGTTACACAGAGCAATAGTTAAAATCTTTTTCTAATTACTCAACGCATTCACACAATACCGATAAGTATCGATATTCAATTTAGGTTGTAATGAATATAAACGAAATAAAACTCATTTTACGTAATACAATTTCGTAATATAATATATAATGTACAACAGCAACAAGAGTATTCCCAGGAATATCCATCAATATCCCAAGTGCTTGCTTTGTTTATTTTTGCCAATTACTACGAGACGATAATTATTTTCAATTGATAATGAAATGCAATTAGAAACCGCTTGTGCCGATTGCATTCTCACAGACCGAGCACCAAACCGCAAAAAGGTAAGAAGAAGCAGATGAAGTGGGAGGAGGATGAGGAGGAGGAGAAGGAGGCGAAAAGCAAAGCGAAATAAGGTAAAGTGTAACAAAAACATTAATTTACACAATTTCCTTTTGCCATTCGCATTTGCCGGCGAAGGATGTCGCCGCCGCGCACTGAGCCTGCATAATGAACCATAGAGTCTGTAATTAAAGTTTGTCGAAGCCTTTGCTAGCTGCTCACTGTTGACGATGCCAGCAGCAACAGCAACAGCAGCAGCAACAGCAGCAGCAGCAACAGCAACAGCAACAGCAACAGCGGCAGAAAGCATTATCAGAAAATCAATTCCCGCATCAGGATGACGCAAAATAGAATTCAATTAACGCGCTTAAATTAAACTGCCACTTCCGGTTTTGATGACGTTTTAATCTGAGCCTCCATCATCCGACATCCGACATCCGACGGCCGTAGTCCGTGCTCCCACGTCCGGCGTCCGACGTCCGTAGTTTTGTCCTGCAGACAGCAGAAAATTGTTCGCTGCGGTCCGTGTTCACGCCTTCTGACAATCCAATCTGACTGACTGCGCCTGACTACGACGGGGTCATATCGTCGCTTGCCTTGACAGTTACTTAAAGCCCTGCTTGACCTGACAACACTATTGTTAATACCCTGTAAGCAATGAGAGATGGCACTGTGGGTATATTGCCTATGTGCACTTTTATGTGGCAGGCTGGAGCTGGCCTATCTGGAGTCAATATGGGCTTTAGTCTATATCTATATGTAAATGAATGCATAGATCTCGAGAGCTATAAGAGCTAGAATTTTTGGCATTTCACATAACTACTTTTGCATATACTACCTAACTTCCGGATTCTAGCCCATAATCTAAGTTAAGGTTTAAGTCAATAATGCGCTAAATAGTCTCAGACAATAAGCTGCAATAAATGAATTTTAAATAACAAAAAAAAAAAAAAAAAAAAAAACTACCTAACTTTAATTAAATATTTTCATTTGATGCCTCATGTAATATCGGTAAATAAAAATACATGGGCTTT